ACTACACCGACTGCTGTTACTCAGCTGCAGCCGCGGCGGGCGCGGGCGACAGCTGGCGGTGTGCGTGGGAACTATTTGTAATATTTAGTTTGGAACAAACAGATTTGATATCGTGATATTCGCCTGAAATATGTGTTGTGTTGATAGACACACGTCAACTGTCACCGCAGCGGAGACTATTTGATAAACATGCAGAGCATCATTGTACTTGTAAATTGTAACTGCGTTTGCTTTAACAATCACATTGTTTTTGGTTGTTGTTTAGTTGGCACGTCCAGGCACTTGCGTTCTGATACTTACATCTACCGAGTGCGTAATGTGGCCACCTACATTAACCACACTCCCGCGTCCCGCATGTTGATGTCAATAAAGTAGTTCATTCTAGAGCTTCAGTTATTATCAGTACCTACATAGTACTGTACTGCGTCACTCGCAGTAATCTTACATACTATAGCTACTTTCGCGCAGTTTCACCCGCTCTGCTCGGCGCCCTATGATCGTGGCGTGAGACTTCTTTGACAATCCCTATCCAACACAAACATAATTATTCAAATCGGACCAATAGTTCCGGAGATTAGGTAGCGCGTTCAAACCAACAAACGCTAATATAAGTATTAAGATAATCGGTACCTAGGTAATAGGACCTATGAAATTGCCGTTTCGTATGAAAACTTTGTTGTTTAGTTGGCACGTTGCCGTTTCGTATTAAAATATTTTTTTTTATTTATTTTTATATGTATTAATCACCCATGCAATCAATGCATCTCTGCTATCACAGTGGCAATTTATTGATGCTCTTATTAAAGAAATCAGCGTGACGGGAGGCAACATTCTTCAAAGGCATTGTGTACTGTCTCTGGGGTATTGAATTGTTTTCCCACCAAGGAGTTATCATAATTCTGGAAAAAGTAGTATTCTGTCGACGCAAGGCCCGGTGAGTGGGGCGGCTGACGGAGAGCTTCCAACCTCAGTCCTTGCAACTCGGAGACCGTCTGCTGTGCAGTATGAGGTCGCGCGTTGTCGTGCAGGAGCAGCGGGGACGAGCGGTTGACCAATGCTGGTTGGAGATGTGCCAGCTTCTCCAACAGTGTTCAGTTCTCCACAGTACACATCTGCAGTAATGCTCATCCCGTTTAGTAAGAAGCTGTGATCAATCACACCGGCGCTAGACCAAACAGTGATCACTTTTCTAGGGACAAGTTTCCATTTAGGGCATTGTTTAGGTGCTAAACCAGAACCCAACTAACTAGAGCGCTTGCGGTTATCAGACAGAATCCATTATTTATCGTAGGTAGCAATGCGGTTCAAGGCAGGTCTCGGCGCGTACTTCGCGCTGGCGATCACTGAGTTCGTGGGGAACACATTTCTCAAGCTTTTTACCAATTTATTGTTTTGACGTTAACGTCGAAAGCCACTGCTAATTCAGCAGTAGATTGTGTATCATTCGACGGCGAGGTCCAATTTCCAATACGGAAGCGAGCAAACCAATAGGTAACAGGTGGTGCGTTGGTGTGTACTGTTAACTCTGTCAACGTCAATTTGTAATTAAAATTCTTAGCCAAACAAAAATTTATTTTTTTTATTTCAAATGGCCGGTACTGCAAAACGGTAATTTCATACCAATATTATGTCATTCACAAAATACAAATCTACTACTACCTAACACTTACCTCTCATTCCCTACTCACTACTTGATGAGTAGGAAGTGAGCCCAGCGGTGCAGCGGGGCAGCGCCTAGCGACTTTAATGTAATGAGAGCGACGCGACACGACATACGACTGATCACTAGACATGGGTAGGTAATGCGTGTAATAGTACAAAAGTAATATCACTTTGACACGTAATGCAACATCACGCATTACGCATCAGTTACAAACATCACTCGCATCACTCATCACTTCGGCAACGTTCGGTAAGCGTCGTTTTAGTTCGTAAGCACGAGCGCCCACCGCGCGCAGCCGATGTAAAATTTTGCCGGCCGCGCATATCGCGAAAAAGAGACAGAGAATGGTGACACGTGCTATGCAAGTACCTAGTATTCAAATGTTTTGATTTTTTATGTCGCCAAGTTTGTTACCGGGCGGAGTAGGTTACATTGCTTGTAATTAGAAATTAGTTTAGATAATATATAGATTTTTGTTTAGTTCGAAGCGTGCGTGTTCTTTCCGTAGTGTGTGCTAACCAGTGCTAACAAAGTTTTTGTGTTTTGTAAATAAATATTTAAGTAAGTAGGTACTAATATTAATAGGTCTTTACCACAGAGCTACCTACTAAATTGCCGCTTTTTTGCTTTGTTTTAATTTGTTTTTAAAAATGTAAAACATTATAGGTACTTATATCTCTATCGAAATTAATGTTTTATCTCAAAAATAGAGTAGGTAAGTACTTCAGTAAGTAGGTTTATAATGTTTCACGCTAGTAACGGCAATTTCACCTAATATGATAAGGCAAACGTAAATTTGTTTATTACCTAATACTTTATTATTATTATTTACAAAATACAAAAACATAATAATATTTTTAAGTACTTAATTAAATTTTGTAGAACTATTTCGTGAAAGAAAATAACTAATTAGAGGAGACTTTTGTGATTGTTTGTAACAAAAAAAAATGGCATCTAAGCGAAAATCTAGTCCACTGTGGAACCACTTTGAGCAAACGGAGCCAAAGAAAGCAAAGTGTCTGTATTGTTTAAAGATTCTGGCAATGTCTTCTAGCTCCATTGGTAGCTTAAGCCGGCACATAAAACAAGTACATCCCACTATAAATATATCGATGAACAGATTAGAACCTGTTCAAGAAGTGTCCTCGGCTGATGTAAGTGAAGTAGCTAGTACAAGCACCGCAAATTTGAACGTACAAGCCACAATAGGTAGTACTTCTAGAACTACCCCTCCAGCTCCGTCTATGAACCAATTGTTGTGGTGAAAAAGCCCCTGCCACTAAATAGAATTCAGCAGATCGACGAACAATTAATCAGAATGATTGCAAAAGGCTATCACGCTTTGAGAATCGTAGAGGAAAGAGAGTTTCGAAAATTAGTCGAAATGCTAAATTCTGGATACTCACTACCCACACGCAAAACAGTTTTCGGAAACTCTGCTTCCTAAAGTTTACAATAAACTATTAGAAAATGTAAAAAGCAAAATCACAAAAGCTACGGCTATATGTATCACCACCGATGGTTGGAAATCTATTACTAATGATGACTATATTGCAATAACTGCACATTATATAGACGTAGACTCCCATCAATTAGTGTCAGTTATGATTGGGTGCATTAATTTTGATCAAAGTCACACAAGTGTAAATATATCTGATTTCCTGAGGCAAAAGTTCACAGAGTGGAACATCGAAAATAACATTGGCGCGATTGTCAGCGACAACGCCGCTAACATTTTGGGCGCAGTGCGGATAGGTGGTTGGAGATCAGTTAGCTGTTTCGCCCACAGTCTTAACTTAGTTGTGCAAGCAAGTATCGACAAAATTGCACACATACTGATAAAAGTTAAGCAATTAGTGGAATACTTTCATCGTAGTCAGCCTGGGCTAAAAAACTTAAAGAAATGCAGGTTCAAATGAACATTGGGCCACTTAAATTGAAACAAGACGTCAGTACACGGTGGAATTCCACTTACGACATGTTGGACCGTCTACTGAGGATTAAAGATGCTGTGACTGCTACTGTGGCAATTATGAGGGCTGATTTAGCCCTATCACAAGAGGAGTGGGCGATTGTAGAAAGAGCGATCCCTATTTTAAAGGTGTTCTACGAAGTCACCAATGAAGTGAGTGGAGAAGAATACGTCTCCGCTTCAAAATATATTGTTTTTTGCAAGCTGTTGTTTATGCAAATAGAAAAAACTTCTGCCGAGACCTATGCACCGATTGAGGAACTAGTGGCGTCATTAAAATTCGAGATGAGACGTAGATTCGGCGATATCGAAAAACATGTCCTGCTTAGTGAAGCTACTATCTTAGACCCACGCTTTAAAAAAACTGGATTTCGTGATCCTATCAACTTCCAGAATGCCGCAGCGGCACTCAAAATGAAAATCGGTAGAATTGTCTTGCCCGATGAGGACACAGCAAACAATCCAGTGCCCGAAGAACCGACCCCTGGTCCTTCTAAAACAGGTTCAATTTGGGAGGATTTCGATGTCGAAGTTTCGCGATTGATACCAGAAAATCCAACTGCAGCCGGAATCGTGGAATTTGATAAATATTTACAGGAGCCGTTGATCAGCCGGCATCAAGATCCGCTGCAGTGGTGGAGGGAACGTAAAGGAGTTTATCCGCGACTCCACAGATATATGCTAAAACGCCTAAATATCACGGCAACATCTGTTCCTTGCGAGCGAGTCTTTTCTAAAGCAGGGTTAACGCTGAACGAAAGAAGAACTCGGCTTACAACAAAAAAAATATCGGAACTTATGTTCATTAGTTGCAATAAGATGTGAAATAGTTACCTATGTTACAAAAAAAAAACTAAAAAAATTCAAAAAAATACATAAAAAAAAAGATAAAAATGTAAATATTGTACAAATGTGTATATAATATATGCGTTTGTATATGTGTATATATGTATAAACCAATCAATGTTGTAAATAGTTGATTTTTAAATACGCCTGTCTTCCTTAAACAAAGATTGCCAGTCCTAAGCCTGGAGGGCCCCTTTCTTTATTTTGTTTTACATTTGCTTGCGTTCATTACAATTATTAACAAACAACATAAAGTACGTGGCCAAGTATGAAGGAAAATCAACTACATTTTTTTAATATTTACTTAAATTGTAATTTTACGATATGTAATAACTATTGCAGTTATTATTGCTACTTTTCAATATGATCTGTAATACTTCACATATCACCTTAAACATTACTCGGTCATCATTTCAATAAAAATCGATCGGGTAATGTGTGATGTTACGGAGTAATATCACTTCCGTGGAAGAGATGCGTGATGTTGCATTACTATTTGACGTACTGTTTTGCGCATGTCTACTGATCACTGGGATGCGGGCCACGGCGCGGAGTGGTGGAGGGGGCGCGGGGGAGCGGGGGCGCGGGCCGCACTGCCACGCCGCCGCCGCATCCGCAGCGGTACCGGTGAGTAGGGGCGGGTGAAGCGATGACTATTGGTTGAGAATTGACAAAAACCGTGCAACGCAGGGCAACGCTTCCTGTTCTCCATTGTGTGTCGCACAGCCCGGCCGCGCCTGCACCTGCACTATACCGACAGTACCTAATATGACAAGAAAAAATGGATAGATTCTAGAGTTTCACTACGGTTCACTTCACGCTGCTGCTATTCTGTGAGAGTGGTAGATACTTACTTGCCTTACTGAACCAGTCCATACAGGTGATGCCGCCGACTGCTGATAGCGGTTCGCGACTACGGCCTACGGCAATAGCTTGAAAACTTTTCAGTAATTGATTAATATACGACCATTCATCCATTATAAACGTAGCAGATTACGATGTTCGAATAAAATGACAATGGGATCGTGTTGAAATGATGCATTTTGTTAAACTAGCAATCTAGGGCCCGACTGTTGTCGTGGTATAAATGTTTTCCTTCACCGTTTTTCAAAGAAAGAGAATACAAATCACATATTCAGCACCAGCAACGACGCAGTATCAATAAAATATAAAAAATATATCACTGGTGTCTACATTTTAATAAGTAGCTTCACCGTACTAATACAATAAATGCGAGTGTGTGTGTGTGTTTGTTTGTAACTCAATCACGTCGCCAAAACGACTAAAGAGAACGGATGAAATTTGGATCAGGAAACATTACCCTGTTCTAGAATAACACATACATTTATCCCCTAGAATTGGGGGCAAAGCCGCTGGCAGAAGCTAGTATTTTATATCTCAGAAAAAGACACATTATGACTTGCCAGGTTCCGAACCTGCAGCCTTTTATTAGTTAACTAGCGGCCCGTCCCGGCTTCGCACGGGGGGACTTAAGATTTTTTACATAGTTTTACGTTTTATTTATATTTATTCTCAGTTTTTTTTTAGCGACCTGCCCTCCGTTGTCGATGTCGCGTCTTAAGGTAACCGATTGAACAATTCAAAAGTTATCTAGAGCAAACTTTTATAAGGATTGAACCATTCATTAAAACGATTGTTATGGGTAAACTATAAAAGGTAGACATATGCTCTCGCGGACTTTTTTAAAAATAATGTTAAGATAAACAATTCATCTATAGAACATTTTTGTATAACTTTAACTATATGCTCAGCGCACGCCACGGAAGGCCTCAGAAACGATACTTTTCCCCCGTTTTTAAAACATTTTTGGTTACTGCTCCACAACTATAGGACCTAGCGTGATATTATATAGCCTATGTTACTTCTGAATAATGCAGCTTTCGAATGGTGAAAAAATTATTGCAATCGGTTCAGTAGTTTTTGAGTTTATTCATTACAAACATACAAAAATACAAATCTTTCCTCTTTATAATATTAGTATAGATTACAAACATACAAAAATACAAATCTTTCTTCTTTATAATATTAGTATAGATATAGATTTAATACTGGACTGTAGTCGGATATTGACTGTATTGCCATTGCCCCATTGCTTGACTGCACTGCCGGTTGGCGCGGTGGCTGGGTAACTGGCAGCCACGCAACGTGGCGCGGGTTCGAATCCCGCACGAAACAACTCTTTGTGTGATTCATAGATTGTAGTTCCGGGTCTGGGTGTCATGTGTATATGAAATTGTACGTTTGTAAACGCACTCAGCGAAACAATTGTTGCTGACCCACCAGGTATAGAGCCTACGGTTTACACGCCTACGAGATTAATACACTGGGAAACGCTGCTACGTACTACGCACTACGCACTGCGGGCTACAAGCAACGTGCTACGGGCTACAAACTACGTGGTACGGCCAAACGGTCTACATCTGCGTGCTACGAGCTACGAGCACAGAACTATGAACTACGAGCTACGGTTGTAGTATAGTAATTTTTAGATTTAGGAAATTACTAGCTTTGCCGCCGTGTGATCGTTTACGATAAAATTGAGTGAAGGAGTTTACAATATTACTTCCTTAGGGAAAGTGTTAGTACTATCCTGTGCCTGGTTTTTTTTTACTAATTTAATTAGGGTATAATTTAGACGGCCACCAAAAATATTTTTAAGACTCTAAGCCTAGGCACCAAATAAAATAAACAACGTAAAAAAAAATCAATTGACTTTATTATGAGGGCCCTAAACTATATAATATTACAATTCAAAATAAATGAAATAACATCAGAAAAATCACAAACCTTGCACAAATATTATTTTTGGTTAGTAAAATGGGTCAACGGTCACCAAATTCTATCCAACTTAAAGATTAATAAGACGTCATCCAAAATACGTTATTTGATCCCAAACTACTTTAATGTAAGACTAAAATTACAATTGATTCCCTTTATTTCACGTACCTCTTAGTCTTGTCTGCCCTACCCCTAGAGTGTAATTTATAATCGCTTAGGCGCGTAGAGGCGAGGCGGCCCGCGGGCTGAGGTTGGCCAGCGAAGCCGGCCAGCAAGTCGAAGCCGCGGTGGTGAGCGAAAGCCGTCTGCGACGATTACCACGCGTGGGGCCGCCGGAGACCCGCAGCGCAGGAGCCGTGACAGAAATCATGCCTGCTGCATGTTTGCTTGAATGCTGCGTGATTGCATGATTGCTTGCATGCTGACTTGCTTGGCGAAATGAGTGACGTTTGTGTGGGAACCCCCGTATATTTAGTGAATTTCATATAATAATAAATAAGCGACGTACTTTTGGGAACCCCAGTATATCAATTAGTAATTGGGAAATATTCTAGCGATCGTTAACTTTTTTAGCCGAGTAAAAATTACCATATTAGAACTCATGGTATTACATAATTGGTAATAGCTATGTAGTGACATTAAACAATATTTAGTCTAAAGTGTATTTTTAAGGCGTCCATATTTTTTTTATGACAGGACAATAATAGGAAAAAATAGATTTATTTCGTAACTAGCTTTTACCCGCGGCTTTGCTCGCGTCACAAAAGGATAAAAAGTAGCCTATGTGACATATACCAATACACACAGCGCCATCTATACCAATAATTTCGTTTTTCCTTGAGAATGTCAAATTTTTCCGGGATAAAAATAATAATAATAATAATAAATTTTATTGCTCAAGAAAAAAGGGAAAATACATGATTTAGGCAGTCAATAAAAGTACCCTATTATTTGACTGCCTGACTACCTATTGGGGTTTTAATGAATGCCTCGTTAGCCGAGTGGTCGTAAGTGCGACTGCCGGGCAACGGGTCTCGGGTTCGATTCCCGGGTCGCGCAAAGTATTACTGGGTTTTTTAAATATTCTCAGTAGTAGCACGTAGTCTGGAATTGTGCACGGTATATGGCAATAGGCTCACCCCATATTATATGGGACTCATAACATAAATAGTGAAAAGTGGGTGTACTTATATTGTAGTGGTATAATGTGCACCTCTGCCTACCCCTTCGGGGATAAAAGGCGTGATGTTATGTGTATGTTTGTGTTATTTGGTGACCATTAATCCATTTTGGTAACCGTATAGAATTTTTTTGGTTGCGAATTAGGTACTTTTTTGGGCGGTATTATACCCTTTACTTACACATGTATAATATGGAGCCGCGGGGGACTTGACGGGTTGCCGGGGCTCCGGTTCGGAGGGCAGGAGTAGGAACGGAGTGGTTTTTAGCCAGTAAGAGTGACAGTCCTATGTGTGCTTCCAATTATTATATATTTAAAAAACCGACTTCAAAAAAGCAAAAATTAATAACAAACAAAAAGTCAACTAAAAAGCAAAAAATAACTATTATTAGTACTGAACTACTGATACGTTAGGTACCCACCCAATGATAGGTTAGTCGGCGCCATAAGTGCTATAAAAAAATATTCATTAAAACCTCAATAGATACCTAATTTACAATTTTGTGGCCATTAATTAAGTTATATCATTAGGTTTTTTGACAAGCGAACTCTTGCTGTAATATCCTATTCTTTTTTAATGCATGTCGTAGCAGCCTTTAATTAAGGCTACACTATAGTGTTAAAATATATGTTAAAAAACCTGTTTTTATAATAACTATCGTGAGACATACTAAATTAACTAAAATCGCGGATTACTCGCCGCCCGCGATTTTAGGTAATTTGTTAAAAAACCTTTCGTGTATTTTGGTGTATGCAACCAACAAATGGTTAAATAAATAAATCATTATGTTATGAAGTTATGGCACCGACTACCTATTTACTAACCTATCAGTGAGTGGGTAACCTATCAATACTAACGATAGCTATTTTTTTGCTTTTTAGTTGACTTTTTGTTAGTTTTTGGTTTTTTGAAGTTGGTTTTTTAAACGCAGTTTTCTTTTAAAATGTTTAGTGTAAAGCTACGTAGATCCGTTTTGCTACTTATAATCCAAATAGGTGAAAAGTTCTAGTCAGTACAAATTATACAAGCCCAAACACAAGGTAGTTACTATAAACCGTATAGGAGTTCCCTTAACAATTACACTTCTTCATCATCAGACCCTTAATGACAGACCCACTCAAGGTAGGTGTAAAGTTCTCATCAATACAAATTAATCAAGCCCAAACACAAGGTAGTTATTATAAACCGTTGAAGAGTTCCTTCGACTGTCTGTCGGCTCCATAATCAGGTCAACTCCAGACCCTTATCAAATAGTGTATTAGTGACTAAGAATTCGGTAAAAATTATAATTAAAAAATTTTAATAGACGCATTACTCGCCCCAACAAGTTTCGAAAGTTCCCCTCAGTTTCCCTAGGATTCCATCATCAGATTCTGACCTTATGGAAATGGGACCATCTCGGAAGTATATCCTTTCAAACAAAACAAGAATTTGAAAATCAGTTCACAAATGGCGGAGTAGTCGATGAACAAACAAAAAACAATGAGCCGAACATAGTATCTCTTCCTTTTTTTGAAGACGGTAAAAAATAGGTTTCGCATTGTAGTACATAGCAGCACGTCGCTGCACTTCAGGATCGACTGGAAGTACACCCGCGAGCACAAGTAGGGCCTCATTGCTAACCGTCCTAAAAGCCTTACACAGGAAAATAAAGGCTAGACGCTGGCCTTGGAGAAGTTTTCGCCGTACCGCGCCTATTGTGGCCCTATTAGCCCCGGCAGGTGCCCCGTAACGTCGCACACGCATCCCAGGTAGGTTGCTCCGTATATGATCCTGAGCGTAAGAAAACAGAGATCCCAGTTTGCTTTCGAGTCAGAAGTTAGTTTTGGCTTTCTCAGTAATAAAATGAAAGAAAAGCTTTTTTCTTAAACTAAACCGGTTGCTAGGAAGGTTGTGGAGATTGAATTATTAACTGAACACGTTGTTTCGGAATATTTGTATCATGCTTATAAAAATATATAGAAATTTTTCCGTATGTTATACAGAAAAAAAATATAATTTTTTAATATAAAGATTTTGATACGAAATACATTATCTTGGAATACGTATCTTATTATTTATGACGATTGACGACCACCTACATATCACTTGTACCACTCGCCTTCACTATACTAATTTGCGAAGTACAATTAACTTTCATTCAAAGATTTAAGAATTTTCCCTAAACTAATACTTAGCTATACTAACGTTCTTCACTTCAGGAAGTATCTTAGTACCTTCTTAGATATCCATGAAATACAAAGTGTAGAGCTATGCAATTGGAACTTTATAGGTTTCTCTCTCACCATATAGCTAGAGGTAGAGCGCAGAGCGACGACGTAGTCAGTCGTAGGGAGCCACCGGATGGAGGCGGAGGGCTGCCGAGAGGCCTTTGCCGATCTAGAATAAATTTTAGTAAGACCTAATAAATAAAGATTTGTTGAAAAATATATTTTTGTGTTGAACTGAAGAAATAATGTAGAGAGTTAGGTAAGTCATTGTAATTTAAAAACTATATGGTTTAGATTTTTTTTATATTTTTCTGATAACTCTTGGAACCTTGCCGATCACCAGGTGCCATTGGTCGTCGACTTCAGGGACACCCTGTACAACAGGCAGAGTGCACGGCACTTGTGGCTGTAAGCGACTCTAACAATAGCATCCTTTTTCAGAAAAAAGAAAAACAAGTATTTGTTAACCTAATCTACTCTTTATTAACAATAGTAACGTAATATTAACTAAGTCACAGTGACAGGACAGCTACTGCGCGTCGCCCGCGCCGGCAGCGGCCGGCTTGGCCTTGTCCTCGGCGACCGAGTCCACGGCGGCCGAGTCCATGGCGGCCGAGTCCATGGCGGCGGCCAGCTCGTCGTCGTCGTCTTTTCCGTAGAGCTCAGGGTAGTGCGACATGCATTCCTGCATCACACTGAACTTTTCGTAGCAGTCGCTGCCCTTAGGGTCCGCGTCACTGAAACATTCGAGCCTCACATGAGCCTCCCTTGCTTGCCACTCTGTTACATGGCACTGACACGAGCGGCGAGTTACACTGCCTAGTATCAATGAACAGTAAATTTGTCATTGGTGCCTAAGCCAGAAAGTAAGTATTCAAGTATTTATTGCATCCATAATACATTATGGTATGGTATCCATAATACATTATCGGTACACATGCAAGTAGGAAATACAATATTCAGAGACACTTAACATTAATTAATTGTTGGGACGGTGAACAATTACATATAATAGTGTTACAAAAGAAAAAATAATATGTAGTATTAATTTGCAATAAAATAATCTAGTGCCTTAAATTTTTCAAGCTAACTAAACTAATAGATTTTTCTTTTATGGCATAAGTCGGTAAACGAGCAGACGGATCACCTAATGGTAAGCAATCTGCGTCGCCAATGGACACCTGGAACACAAGAGGCGTTACAAGTGCGTTACCGGCCTTTTGGGGATTAGGAGTTTGAGGATCGTTGGGGATTCAGGAATTGGGGAGATTGGGGAAGGGGAGGGTAATTCGGGCTCCGGTAACCTCACTTACACGACGAAACACAACACAAGCGTTGCTTCACGGCGGTTTTCTGTTAGGCCGTGGTATCACTCCGGTCGAGCCGGCCCATTCGTGCCGAAGCATGGCTCTCCCACACTTAATAATAAAAATAATAATTTGATAATAAATTGTTGGCATGGTCTGTATTTTTGTGTTCTATTTTGTTTTTCAATGAAGACTTGACTATCTTTTTAATTTTGTTTTATCCAGTACTGACACACTTTCATTCGGACTCATAATTCTAAATGTGAAGACTTGTAACTGGCTCACCAATATTTGTGCTTATTGTTATTTTGAATTGTTTTTATTAGCTGTAAGTCTTCCATGTTCTTGAAATAAATAAATACAATAATAATAATAAATACAGTAACAAAACTGAGCTATATACTAATACATAGGTACAAGTTGAATAGAAATATGGAAAACAAACCTGTAGTGGAAGCAAGAAAAGGCCTCTCTGAACTGGGAGCCACAGGGGCCCGTGGCCATACCCCCAAGACATGGGCAGCCCCAGTTGATGGACCCGTCTGCCAGAATGAGCCCGGGTGTCGGTTCCGGCTCTGGCAGGCTCACTTTACTGGGACTGGCCAACTCTTCTCGAGTGGCAACAATCACCACATCCTTGCCATCCAGGCCAGATGACAGTACTGAGCGAGTCGACATATTGCTACTCTGCAAAACACACACCTTTAAATAGTTATTATATACATAAAACACCATAGACATCTGTACATTTTCTTATACATCACTATTTCATTAGTTAAAAGCAACACCTGAGGGTTGTGGACAGATAAACTATTATCATTAGTTATTATTTCATTTATTTGTAAAGATAAAAGATTATTACTATAATACGTATTACATTTAGAGAATTAAGGTAATGTGGCTTTAATGCAGCAAGCAGGCGAGCTGCTGGGCGGGAATTAAAATTAAAACAAAAGAAAGAACAGCTAAGTGTCAGATCATGGTGACCTGTCAGAATTATTCATAGGAAACATTGGGATTTAACAGGCCATTAGAATATGTTAAGCAAGATTAAAGTTAGCAAGGCACAGGTACCTATAGAAGAGGTTGCGGCACTGGAGCCAGCGCCCGCGGGCGCAGGTCGGCGCCGGCCAGCAGCAGCGCGGCGCGCAGCCCACACAGCGCGCGCGCCTCCACCCGCAGCAGCGCGCGCCCGCCGCCGCACCGCACCACGTCGCACGCCGCGCCCGCCGCCCCGAACACTTGCGTCGCGGCCTCCTCTACGGCCCTTCGTAACGACAGCCGGGTTCGGTCTTCGTCGCACCTTCACATGAGGATTTATAACGTGCGATTACGACGCTTCCATTTATATTACAGTATACTATTCATTTCAGTAAAATATTACGCAATTATGTAGGAACGAGCGGTACTTACACGATCTCGACGTAGAAATATCGGGAGTTCATCAAAATACTAGTAGTAAATTAACAATGTACGATTGAAGTATCAATAAAATATTTACTAAGATTTATTAAGTCCACGAATTTTCAGAGAATGAATTATGAAAGGTTATGTTTAGTTTCAAACAGACAACACGAAGTGATGACGGATCGACATTGACACTTGACAGCTTGCATGACAGCAAATATAGACAAGGACGATTGATCTATTCTATAGATAGCAAATGATTGTCTATGGGCATAATTTAAGATGTATCTCGACGGTTAATTAATAAATGTTCTGTTTTCGTAGGTATGTTTTAATAGGTACTAGATTGGAATTAAATTATTTTATCAAACCTAAGATTATGTTTTCGCTCGAACACTGGCTGTGACAGGTACATAGACGTACAATAAGCAGACCAAACATTAATTCGTTCGCAATACGTACATGATATCCATCAGTCTTTAGTCTTTGGTCTTTGTCCTTGTTCTATCAAGCACAAGTCAAGCACCAACTAATCAACTTAATAATGCTCCACACATGGACAAATATTGACATGTAACCTGTTTTTCGCGTGCCGCTATATTGCTTGCGTCGATCTCGTTATAAAAAAAAATAATTGTTTCGACCATTAAACGTTTAATAATCTAAAATAAAATGGTGAAGTGAAATGCCTACCGATGTAACAGCAATAGCTTTAAGAAAATACATGAAATAACCTTTCATCGTGTAAGCTAATCATATTTATTTAAACATTTAAACATATAAAATGTGTACATAAAGTATCATTAAACCTATTTTTTTATAATTCATTAATATTTTTCTAAAATAAGATTAAATTGTTACTAAAAATTGTCTATGGTTGATGTTTTCTTTATGGTTGTGGGTAGCAACACTGAAAAAATGGCGCGAATTTATGAGAGCGAAAGAATAATTATGTTTATTTATTGGTTTTTGTTGTCAAACATTGTAAAGTCAATAAAGATAAAGTGGAGTTGTGAATTAAAATCTGTGTTTAGTTATCAATTGGTAAGTTTTTATTTACGTTGTTGTAGAGTGTAGACTAAAACAAATTGTTGAGTTTTTGAAATAAATCAACTGTTTTCCTTTGATTATATAATGTCTAGATCTAGAGCGTCACCATACAATAGCAACAAAAATGACGTTCCAAAGTTTCTTGCATGTGTGCGTGTAGCTTGTGGTTTACACGGAGCAAAAATTATACCAGGTACGATAAAAATTCTCCCATCAAAGGAGATGTTTCACTTTTGTTTGGGATTCCGGCCGTGGACATAATAGGCAAAGAGGGAAATAAAAATAAGCCGTTGCATAGAATAAAGCAACATTTTTATCCTACTTTTAAGTATTCATTGGGTACAAAATAAAAATTCGTTTGTACGAGTTGTGACAGCCATGATGACAGACAAGACAATACATGCGAATCAGAACTTACCACTTACCAGTGTTATGAAAAACAGTTCTTATTTATCTGATGTTATACAAAATAAGCTATGTTTGTTTTGTATTTATTAATTATATAATCAAAGCTGGTTTCGTAATATTTAGTCGTTTATAAAGAAGCCTTATCGACTATAACGCCGTTTGCCCATACGTTTACAATACAATGTAAAATAAATAATGAACAATAAAATCAACTTAATTTTTTTATGTATGACAGTTCAAGTACTTGTAGAATCAACAGAGGATGTATTTAGTGTTCCGAAAAGTTAAAATAATAAATACCTTGTGATAACCTGGGTTTGAAGTGACTGGGTAATGAAAGATCAAACAGCGGCAATAGGTGCATAAAAATTAATATTCAACACTGACAATTATTGTCGGTTCATAAGACAATGACGTTTCTTTTCTCGGTGATTTACACCGGAAATCATGAAAAAAACAAAAAGAAAGACACAACACAAAAAAAAAACAGTAAAACAAGAATACAGAAATCCTTACTATAAGTAATATTATAAATCGAAAAGTGAGTTTGTTTGTTTGTTCCACTTTTACGCCGCAACTACTAAACCGATTGCTTTGAATTTTTGCAGACATAAAGTTAGAAGTCCGGATTAAATAATACTTTTTAACCCGGAAAAATTTGATATTCCCGAGGAAAAACAAAAGTATAGGTATAGATGGCGCTGTGTGTATTGGTATACGTCACATAGGCTTTTTATCCTTTTGTGACGCGAGCGAAGCCGCGGGTAAAAGCTAGTAAACAATATATAACAAAAAGATTTCGATAGCTTGAGTTCGAACCTGAGTTTAAGCGTATCAAAGTATATGATGTTGCACCCTGAGACCAAGCAGTTACTTGAGAACAGTGGTGAATATGTTGATCTGTAGGCGTCGAGATACTGACGTAACAAATGTCGAACAGTCCGAAATATTTCTCCCAAATAATTAAGGGCGTATCCGCAAGCTGAGGACAATGTAAGAACAATCAGCATTGCAAAATATTGCCCATGATCCAACGTACACTTCCGTAAAGTAAACGCAAACACTTACCCCGTTACTGCACCAGCACTCACTTGTCTCTGGCAACAATACTGATATATTTACTACTAGCTTCTGCCAGCGGCTTCGCCCGCGGTCCCAGGGGTAAAATGCCTATGTATCACTTCAGACCATAATCTACCTCTGTTCCGAATTGCATTCCGGTCCCTTCAGTCGTTTTAATATGACTGAGTAACAAACAAACACATGAACTCACATATTTTCATTTATAATATCGAGTCAAGCTAATTTCAACCATTGGCCTTTCAGTTACAGCGTAAAGTTTATGAATGAGTATTGTAAACGTTAGAGTAGACAAATACAATCAGAAATCACCGAATTGCTAAGCTATCGGGAGTTTCACGTGTTATTGTGAGTCAACCATAAAAGATAGACATATGCTGTCGAGGAATATTTTTTATATAATTTTAAGGAGAATATTTCCGTTATACATGATTTATATGTAGCTTTAACCTATAAGCCAGCACACGTGACGGAAGCTTAAAAAAATGGAGTAACTTCTCCCGTTTTCCCAATATTTCCCTTCACTGCTCTGCTCCTATTGATCGTAGCGTAATGAAAAGTATACTATAACCTGCCCAAGAGTATGAAGAATAATTGTGCCAAATTTCGTTAAAATCCATCGAGTAGTTTTTGTTTCCATAACGAACATACAGACAGACAGACAGACAGACAAAAATTTTACTGATTGCATTTTTGGCATCAGTAGCGATCCCTAACCACCCCTTGATAGTTATTTTTTAAATATATTTTATGTACAGAATTGACCTCTCTACAGATTTATTATAAGTATAGATTCCTCACTCATTACTAAACTATTATGGCCTTAAATTAAAGTTAATATGCAAATTAAATGAGGAGCAACCGTCAGCTGTCTGTCCTTTCTTTTTATAATCCTCATTTGTCAGATTTTTTTTTGTTTTGTTTTTTTTTGTTTTTCTTATACTGCCACCCTCACTTGACCATGACAAAAATCTGATTAATATTATTGTGGCTAGCCTAGTAACGCCATCTAGTAATGCACTTAAGAATCAAATATCGATCATTACAGCATATATTATTATTGTTTTTTTTTTAATATAAAACAATTATGTTAGATTATATCTACATTTGTATTATGTACCCACTATGTATCAATTTTATCACAATTACCTATTTATCAAATAATACCTGCTTAGTAATGTACAACCAAATTTAACAGGACCGGACAAGGAAAGAACTTGTTTTGGGAGTAGGTACACTGTGTCACTTTTCGGCTTTGATATTAGGTAAGGTTTTTTTTTTTTTTTTTTTTTTTTATTAAACAGCAGGAGGGAAAATCCTCATGGAGACTCACACCTCCCCACTAGTAGGGAGGTGTGAGTACTGCCGGACTCCTACCGGCTAAAAACCCTCCTGCTGTGCCAAAGTGCTCCTCTGACATGATCAGAGACCTTTTATTAACTATTATTTTTTGTCATTTTAATTTGGGAACCATTTTTAATATGATATATAGAGATAAACAAATACTGAAATAAATATATAAACATAAATATACATATGTTATGAGAATGTAGATATATTACATATTTGACGCTAATGTCGTAATATTCTTCAATATAGGTACCTAGCGCCACATGTTTCTGCTCTTCACTTGTTACACTGCGTTGGGTTTGGTGCTCTCCGTCTTCGTCGTGCCGTATTCACGCAAACGCTCCATCATGTGTAACATGTCTTGTAGAGACGTTTGCGTGGCCTTCTAGGACTTTCGACGTAATGGTCTGAGCTGCCAAGACCTGTGCGTGCCAAGTGAAGGACATCGTCTTGGTCCCATTTGTTTGGCCACCGACCACGCCTTACTGTGCCATTGCCCTTTTCTCTGCAGGTGCCCGCCCACGGCGACGGCTCCACATTACAACACCGGGTGAGGGCCTCAGCACAGCCTGTGGTGTATGCTTGCAATAGATGCACTTTTTGGCTTTCGAACCACCACGGCAAAGTATTCGGCTCATTTTTAAATTTGTACCATTTCTGATGAAGATGGACAGAATTTGATGTATTTAGCTTCTTGCCGCAATGGTCTGAGTTATATTTCCATTGTCTTGGCACCCTGCACACCACCTGGCTGGCGATCCCGATGATCGCATCCTCGCCGCCGCCGGACTCCTGTGAATCTGCACTGACCTCCCCATATGGGGAACTATCTATCGGTGTGTCGATGCCTGTATTGTTGTCAGCCTGTGGGACGCCCGATGCCACCTTAGCAATAGGTAACGGCCGCTCGGGCCAAAGCGTCCCACTTCCTACGGACAGGACAGTCTTGGGCGAAAATTGAGTGGCCTGTGTCGGGTTCTTTATCCCTGCTGCAGTTGATGCAGGTAGGCTTCCCCCCCTCAGCGGACACAGGGCAATCCGCCTGGAGGTGGGGCCCCCCGCAGTGGTTACACAGGTCCACTTTTTCCGTGCAGCTTTTTCGCCCATGTCCGTAGGCCAGACACCGACTACACTGGACCAGCGGAGTCTGATCGAATACCTTCACGTGCTGTAAATCGATATAGATTCTACCAGCCGAAGTCAGCCTCTCCCACAGCCGCGGCGAGACCTGGAGGACGACGTGGTTCTCGAGAGAGTTCCGCGCCTTCCTCCGGTACTTGATTGTCACGGCTGACTCCTCGGCCGATAGACCCTCCAGCAGGCGGGCGTTCTGTGTCTTTAGAGCGGCCTTAATATCCTCTTCGGTATTGTAGGCCAGAAGGTCACGGACAATTACGAGCGGATTACGCTGACGTGCGTTCTCCACCCGCAACTGCCCGTCGGCCCTGAGCTGCTCGGTCATCTTCTTCAACTCCTCTTTGCTGCCGCAGCTCAGAATCACCCTCTGGTCCTTGATTTTTCGGACTTGTTCCACCTGAAGGCCGCTCACCTTCGCGTTCAACGCCTGCCGGACTCGACCCACAACGTCGCCACTAGTTTCCGTTGCGTCGCCGGAGGACACAACGATTGAGTGCTTTGGTCTCACGACCCGCCCTACACTCTTCGGTTTCGACAGGACCTCCGCATAAGAGGGCGCTTCCGCTCTCATCTCGGAGACCTGTCTTCCGATCTCCCGGGTCGCTGACTTGAGCTCTTGCATCTCTGCAAGGAGCTCTGTGTTCTGATCGTTGTGTCCCTCGTCGA